TTACAACTACAAAATTAAAAAAAAGACGTCCAAATGAAATTGTTAGGGCGAAATTCGATTGTAGGTCGCACCAAAGAGCTACGGAACCGCAGCTAGGTCTGGTGCAACGTCACATTGTCCGACGATCACGGGATCAGGCCGGGAACAAGTTTCTTTAATATTTACTAGCTCTTACGTTATTTCCTGATACGTGACTTTATATCCGCCGATACAAGCGTAAACACACCGTTCCGTAGCCTTGTATATTTAACCAAAGACACCGTACTCGTGTCTTTGATTTAACACGCTATTTTATTTATTCACGCTTTGCGTAGTTCATACATCGGAAATACTGTTTCAGGTATCTCCACCTACTATTCAGACCAGATTGTGTTTTATTATGTATCGCTTTAATCATTTTTGATCATGTTAAACACTTGATAATGCGTGTTCATAAAAACAGTATGATATATATCGAAAAATAATATTTAAAAATAATGAATGCAATAAGGAAAACGCTATTGTGCGTGTGCTTCCAATTCCCTTTACGTAAGTACGCGTACGCGCGCATTTGGATGGGGGTCTAAGTTTTCATGTAATAGTGAATTGAAAAGTTGGCGGTTATACACGGAAATATCAATTTATCAGTATGTTGGACACATCTTACCGTGGAATGTTGAAATTCAAATCTAACCATATCGAATTTATTTTATCTTATAGTAGCAGTACCAACCATAATACACAGTAACTGTTTGTTTGTTTTTATGTTGGACTATTATATTCCCGTAAAATGATTTGTCCCATGCACGGTTGTTAACGTCAAATTGTTTTAGTGTAGCGGTACGTTATTTCGTTGACATGGTAGACAGACTGGACCTAGATATGTCATATTAATTCTTAGATACGGGTATGTATAATGTCCCGTATTATACTATGGAACGGAGAGGTACATCCACAAAACTGGAGAAATCAGCTGTCAGATTACATTATGTTTTTCCCAAGTTGAATGGCCTCTCGCTGCATCGATATATTTATTCAAACATTATTTAAGATGTTCATCAAACCGATGGCGCCGTAACTTTTACCGAGAATGCTGATTATTTGAGACTTTTTTCTATTGTATTTAGTGTTTCTAGTAGAATAGTAATGCTAATTGAAATGTATAAGTGTACAATTCATTTTGACGTCCCCATAAACTACTGATTTGATATTACCCTGAATTCGACTGAACATTTTTTATCCGTTTAATTGGTGTCGGGATAACATTGTATTCGCCGTTGTTTTGACGCAACAATCAATCGAAATATGGATGTTTGGATAAATTAAACCTTTATGTATGTCCAAAATGCGGAACCGCTTTTGAAGTGCAACACACGATTATGAATATTAGACAATTTCAAAACAATCCAACAGGGCGCGCGAGATGTATTTCAAAAATTTACAGCAAGTCTCAGAAGTACAGAATGAAAAATAAAATCTATAAAAAATACCAGGTTGAAGAATATTAGTTGCTCTTTCAAATTTCGCCAAAGCCTTACCTATATGTTACCTATATCTGCAGAATAAATCAAGAAAACTACACAAATTTACTCCATTTACGAATAATTAACGGTTTGCCCGAAC